ATCTTCTTGTTTCAGATACCTATATACTAGAATCACAAATGTGCACTGTCCCAATTGTTAATCAATGAAGACAGTCATAAGAATGCAGAACCTTGGAATAGTGAAGACTTTGCTTTGAATTCTAGCCCTTATCATGGAACTCTAAAGGTATTGCTGATGACAAACTTTTATTACATATTTTTCAAAGATTCATAATATTTTATGGGAAGGTAAATAATCATGGCAATAACAGAAAATAATGTGTTGAACTTTTTGAACAGGAAATTTATGTAAGACTGCACAGTCATGCAGCAGATACAACTGGAAAATAATACATTTTATTTAATTTATTTATTAAATTTACTTAAAATAAATAATAAATGAGAAAGCAAAAGATTTTGAAAAGGCAAAGAGTCTTTGGTGTTGCTACATAAATGGAAACTTTCTGTCCCTGAAAGAAAACATTAAGGAACCAAGTTCTTTTTGAATGATCTAATTTTCCTCTTTTGTTGCTCCTTTATATTTTTCATTAAAAATTGTTTTTCTGACTTTTGTCAGGGATGCAGGTAAGCTGGCTGTAGATTTTTCTTTTTCCTGTGCCCCTCTAGGTCCAATCTCCCAATCTCATTCCAACTTTTGACAGAAAAATCTGTGACTACTTCCCCTATCTAGAGTAGATCTCACTGATGTTCTTCTAACTTCACTGCTCTAGCTCAATGTACTATCCCAATACACAAATCCAAAAGTCCTCTCTTGGGAACTCACAGACGACTCTGGCTAGGGAAGAGGTAAGTTAATTGTAGATCATCACCTATCCCTCATTACTTTGAGACCAATGCCCCAATGTTACCCCTAACTATGCATCAGAACATCTGCATTATCCACCCACATCTCTAGTAGATCTCATAGACCACTCCAAACATCCCTATCCCAACTCATTGCATTGTTCTATGGTTCACCTCCACCAAGCATTCCCTGGGAATTCACAGACAAAGATGGTCAGGGAAGCAGTTTGGCTAAATATGGCAGATGGAAGTGTTCCACTTTACAAAATTTGGAAAATTAAAATGTGTACACCATACCATTGACACTTATTCAGATTTCAATGGGCAACTGCCCTGAGCTCAGGAAAGGCTGCTTCAGTAATCACACATTTATTAGAATATATGGCTATTATGGGTATACCTGCACAAATAAAGACAGATAATGACTCAGCATATGTCTCTATGAAAATGAAACAGTTATTTGCTTATTATATATAAAGTATATTACAGGTATATCAAAGAATCCTACGAGTCAGGCAGTAATAGAATGATCGAAGTGATTGATGTAGGATTCCCCTCTGTATGTTGTGGTTACCATTAATAAATAAAGAAACTGCTTTGTACCTACAGCAGGGAAGAACTTAGCTAGGCATGCAAAACTAAACTGAATGCTGGGATAAAAAAGACAGAGTCAGAAAGAAGGCATGTAGCCCTGCTAGAGCCAGATGGAACATTAGTTGGTAAGCCACAGCCACGTGGCAATACACAGATTAATATAAATGGGTTAAATTAATATGCAAGATTCAGCCAATAAAAAGTTAGAGCTAATGAACCAAACAGTGATTTAATTAATATGGTTTCTGTGTGATTATTTTGGTTTCAGGCAGCCAGGACAAACAAGCAGTCTCCCTCCTACAAGTTGGTGCACCAACGTGTGGACTAAATCTACTTAAAAACCTGAGAGAGTTTTAAAAGGAAATCTCGACATAAAAGAACAGAGTTTAGCACAATTTATCGGTATCTATAACATGAGGGGTCCTGCTTGTTGGGGTATCTGTCCCACCCAGTACCCCACAGCTGGCATATCCCAAAGAAAATCATACAGAGGACTCCATAAGATTATAAAACTGATTGGCCCATTAGCTCAGGCTTCTTGTTAACTCTTGTAGTTAATATTAACCCATAATTCTGATCTATGCTAGTCATATGACTTGGTACCTTTTTTAGCTGTTAGCTCACATGTTGCTTCTTTGGTGATCTGGGCAGGAATGGCAGAGGAAGCTTCCTGCTTCCCAGAATTCTCCTGTTCTCATTGCATCACCTCTACTTCCTGTCTGGTTTTCCTGCCTATACTTCCTGCCTAGCCAATCAGCATTTATTTAAAATATAATTGACAGATTACAGACAAGTCCCCTATACCAGGTATCCACAATTTTTTTTTCTGGATGGGCTTGTAGCAAGTAAGATGCCATTGGGAGCAATAAAATCTATGAGACTTCTTTTTTAAAAAAAAAATAGCAGCTTCCTGGTTTGTTAGCACAAATGGCTGTTCTGACATTTGACAATTGAGCATTTAAATGGGGTTTGTGGATAGTGTACTGCAAGTTACTTGGTGGCAGAATGGGTCAACTGGTTATCAGAGTTGAGGTGGTGATGATGGCTCCCACCTGAAAGACTCTGACACTAAAGCACTTCTACCATTTTGGACTGTACTGAGCAAGCCAGAAGTACTGTATATATCCTAGTAATGCTGCATCTTAAGTTTTTAAGAAGCACATAGCATTTTAAAATCTCCTGGACAGCACAGAATTACAGGTACACAATAGGACACATTCAGACATGAAAGACCTCTAAATGGGCTACAGTGTTGGATAAACGTACATGGGCTTGAGAGAGAAAAAGAAGAGTATAGAGAGTTATAAAAAGAAGTAAATGGTTTTTAAAATATAAAACAATGTCTTTAAAAAGACAGTAGAGACATTCAAAGATTAAAGGAGTAAAGATAATAAAATAAATATGAAAAAAGTAATAGAGTGAAAATAAGCCACATAAAGACTGAATATACTTACAGAATCTGGATTAAGTATATTATTATGTTTTCTTTTATCTTTTTTACTGTGAAGAGCTAAATACAGAGCGATATTTCATTGTACAGGCTGATAAGCTAAATTAGCATTTTATTACTAAGGTATCTTGACTTCAGAATTTGAGTCTAAGGATATGTTGCTTTGGAAAAGAGGTTCTTTTTTGTTTCCACAGAGGATGAGAACCTGTGGATTCATTCTAGGCTAATGTGGTTTAATGAACCAAGACCCCCTCCAAGGTTGCCTTAAACACCCCTCAAAAAATATTTCACCCAATAAACAGCAGAAAGAAGTTTAGACAGAACTATGCCCATATTCCCAACATTGTCTATAAATGTGTCTTTACATTTAAAAGGGGATATGCTATAGAGATTTGCATTGGTATGGGTCTTGGTTTGTTGATACAAACTTAAGGTCAAATTTGTTATATGCTGTATATGTATTTCTAATCTTGATTAAGGTATTGTATTTGTCCAGGTCATTTAAAAATGCAATGTATAATTAAGAAATATAGGCTAATAGATAATCATCTATAATAGTTAAGCTTATAGTAATGTCAGTTGGATTTTCTAGATGTACAGAGATGTATTTCGGAAAGATATGTATTCTTCAAGCCTTCCAAATACATCAGAATATGGCACTTAAAATGTTTTAAGAATGTAAGAGTCAGCCAATAAGAAGCTAGAGCTAATGGAACAAGCAATGTTTTAATTACTATGGTTTCTGTGTGATTATTTCGGTTCTGGGGAGCTGGGACAAACAAGTATCCTCTCTCCTACAATCGACCTATAAAGGATATACTAAACAAAGAGAAAGGGGTGGAAAATACCCCAAGAAATACATTCCCTAATGCTTTATTAACCTTGAGTTTTCTTAACACTAATGAGAAATGAATAACAGCAACAGAGTGTAGCATGCAGGGCCAGCTTGTTGGGGTTTTCGTCCTGCCCAGTACCCTACAGCTGGCAAATCCCAAAGAAAATCACACACAACACTCCATAAAGCTGAGTCAAGAAGCCTCTCTTAGATGAGAGTGCTTGCTTGCCTCCAGCAAGCAGAGCAGGTCCGAGAAATTGCTGCTACCAAGAAAACATGCTTTACTCTATTCTTTCCCAAATTTTCTCAGGCTTTCTGTGGATGCAGTTATCCACGTGGGTGCCATCTGTAACATGAGGGCCGGCTTGTTGGGGTTTCTGTCCTACCCAGTACCCCACAACCGGCAAGCAACAAGGAAAATCACACACAGGACTCCATAAGGTTATAAACTGATTGGCCCATTAGCTCAGTCTTCTTATTAACTAATTTTTACATCTTACAGTAACCCATAATTCTTGTCTGTGTTGGCCATATGGCTTGGTACCTTTTTCAGCTGTCAGCTCACATGTTGCCTCTTCGGTGGTCTGGGCAGGAATGGAGAGGGAGCTTCCTGCTTCCTAGAACACTCCCGTTCTCTTTTCTCCACCTCTACTTCCTGTCTGGTTTTCCTACCTATACTTCCTGCCTGGCCAATCAGCATTTTATTAAAATACATGATTGACAGAATACAGATAATTCTCCCACACCAGCAGAGAGACATTGGATAATAGGAAAAACTGCTGAATTAAATCAGCTGGTACATTCCAAGGATGTACTGACCTCACAATGGAAAGCGGGAGAGGTGATACATTGGGGAAATGGTTTTGCACTTGTTTCCACAGGAGAGGAAAAGCTATGGATACCATCAAAATTGATAAAGATTTGATTTGAAAAGAGAAACCTCTTGAGAAAGAGAAATGACAGCTCATTCACAGAGGTGACAATCATAAGGAAGCTTCATAAGGGTTGGGGCAGAGTTCTGTTCTTGTCTTTACAGGAAAATACTCATCTTCATAGAATCAAGAGACCTTGGATATCTGGATGCCTAAAGATGAAAAGATAGCTATGCAGAAAAAAATCACCAAGCAAAGAGAAATCTGAATTTCATCTGCATGGTAAAATTTGATTATCTGGACATGTATACATCTCTAATTAAAAATAAGAGCTGCCTTTGGAGTTGGACAATGACTATCCTTCTCTAAATCCAAGCATGTTGCTAAAAGAAACTTTTACAATTTTTGTCTCATGTCAGGAGCCATCTGGTATTGATCAGAAAGAAGATGGATTTGAAGGAACATTTTGCTTTTTTTCATGCCCATTTTGTCTATATTGTATCTTTCATTGAATATATGTATATATAAATAATGTTTAAGTTTTCAACAATGAACACTAGATTGTCTTGTAGTAGTCTTTGAAACTTCCAAGTAGAAGATGGTGCCCACAACACTGACTCCTCCTGGTTAATTATGACATCATGACACTAATAGTGCTACTATGAGACTAGTTTTGGGGGACCAGTTGTGGAAATGGTGAGCCTTCTTACAATGCTTTGGTCAGAATTCCAAATAAGAACTTTAAAATAACACTACCGAATACTCAGAGACCATATGCAATTATACAAAACAGTAATCTTTAATCTTAACTGTCATTTTACGTTTACAGGATACTATAGAAAGAACATCTCCCCCATGACAGCTCAAAGCAATTCTAGAAAATGACATCCCCTCTCCCAACAAAGTTTGTCCTTAGGGTTAGGGACACTAATTGGGGGAAGATTATTACTCATTTAGGGTTGGGATTTGGGGTAGAAATTATGTAGCCCCAGAGGTCTAAAAAAAAATAAAGAAGGAAAATAGACTGGGATATGTAGATTAGTGTGAACTTACTCATACTAATAATAATCAAAGTGAATAATAGAATGAATACTTGTGAGCTATTATTTATGGACAATTTACATTGGTATAGATTTTTGTTTATTGATATAAGTTTAAATTCTATTTGTTTTTTTGAAAATGGTCTGATTTCTGCTTAACTGTATATTTATCTGTATATTTGTATACCTATGCTAAGTTATTTTGTCAGATTGTATACATGCATGCTTCTACCTGTGTTTAAGACATTTTATAGGCAGAGGCTTCTCTATTACAAATGACCCTGCTTCCCCCAAGCCTTCCCTGTTGTCTGCAAAGTCCTTGGCCCAGGAACAGTTCCTGTTCTTGCACTAAGGAGACCCACCCAGAGGGGTGAGGGTCTGCCAGCCAGGCAGGCGAGAAGGATCCCTCAAGAAAGTGCAGGGTACCTTGAGCTTCTGCTGCAGGGACTTCTGTGTTCCACTTGACCCTGATCACCCCCACCATGGCTGCCCTTTTGTCAGTGGTGTCCCTGTTTCTGTGCTGAGGAGTTCCATCCAGATGGGAACAGTTCCTGCACCTGTACTGAGGAGATACACCCAGAGAGTCAGACACAGCAAAGATTGGACCAAGACACCAAGACTTTCCTGACTGCATTTGAAGAAAGAGATTTGCAGGTACCAATGCAAGAATTGCTCCAACAACCTGAAAGGCAACATGACATCACCAGAATCCAGGGATCATGCAACAAGAAGAAGTGAACAACCTATTCCAGAAGAAATAGAAGAAATCGACCCTACACAGAACTTTATAAAAATAATAGAGGAACCTAAACAGGAGGTGAAAAACTGCCATAAAGAAATGAAGATGACAAACAAAAAGGTAGAGGAAATGAATAAATCTCTCAAAGATAACCAAGAAAAACAAGAAAAAGCAATCAAACAGGTAAGGGAAACAGTTCAAGACTTGAAAAATGAAATGGAGGTAATGAAGAAAACACAGACTGAGGAAAGGCTGGATATGGAAAATCTGGGTAAATGAACAGGAGCTGCAGAGACAAGTAATACCAATGGAATACAAGCGATAGAAGAAAGAATCTCAGACACTGAAGATACTATGGAGGAAATAAACTCACTGATTAAAGAAAAAAACAAATCCAACAAATTCTTAACACAAAACATCCGCAGAACCTGGAACACCGTGAAAACACCAAACCAAAAAAAAAAAAAATAGGGGTAGAAGGAAGGGAAGACATAGAGCTCAAAGGCCCAGAAAATATATTCAACAAAATTATAGAAGAAAATTTTCCCAACCTAAAGAATGATATTCCTATGGAGGTTCAAGAAGCATACAGAATACCAAATAGACTGGATCAAAAAAAAAGCATCCCCTCACCATATAATAATCAAGACACAAAATATACAGAATAAAGAACAAATATTAAGAGCTCCAAGGGGAATAGGTCAAGTAACATATAAAGGGAAACCTATCAGAATTACGCCTGATCTTTCAATGGAAACCACGAAAGTCAGAAGGTCTTGGATAGATGTGCTGCAGAAACTAAGAGACCAAGGATGCAAACCCAGACTACTATACCCAGAAAAGCTTGCATTTACCATCGATGGAGAAAACAAGTTATTCCAGGACAAAAACAGATTTAAACAATACGTAGCCACAAACCCAGCCTTACAGAAAATACTAGAAGGAAAATCACAAACCAAGGAAGCCAACAACACCCATAATAACACAACCATCTGAAAACCCTCCACCAGCACAGCTCAAAGAAGGGAAACACAGAAACACTACCACCAGAAAAAATAACTGGAGTAAACAACCAATGGTCATTAATATCACTTAATATCAATGGAATCAATTCACATATAAAAAGGCACAAGTTGAGAGAATGGATGCGAAATCAGGGTCCAACATTCTGCTGTTTACAAGAAACACACCTCAACCACAAAGACAGACACCTACTCAGAGTAAAGGGTTGGGAAAAGGATTTCCAATCAAATGGACCAAAGAAACATGCAGGTGTGGCTCTACTAATATCTAAGAAAATTGAATTCAAACTAAAATTAAACAGAAGAGATGGAAATTGATACTTTATACTCATAACGGGAAAAATTTATCAGGAGGAAGTCTCAGTCCTGAATATCTACACTCCTAATATAAAAGCACCAACTTATGTAAAAGAAACATTACTAGAACTCAAAGCATACATCAAACCCCATACTCTAACAGTGGCTGATTTCAACACTCAGCTCTCACCAATGGACAGGTCAACCAGACAGAAACTTAACAGAGAAATAAGAGAACTAACAGATGTAATGAACCAAATGGACTTAATGGACATTTATAGAACATTCCACCCAAACAGAAAAGAATATACCTTCTTCTCAGCATCTCATGGAACCTTCTCAAAAATGAATCAAATTATTGGTAACAAAACAAACATCCATAGATACAGAGAAATTGTAGTAACCACCTGTGTACTATCAGATCACCATGGAATAGAGTTAGAATTCAACAACAATTCTAACCACAGAAAACCTACAAACTCATGGAAACTGAACAGTCAACTACTGAACCATCCCTGAGACAATGAAGAAACACAGAAATAAATTAAAGTCTTCCTTGAATTCAACGAAAATAAAGACACAACATACCCAAACCGAAGGGACACTATGAAAGCAGTGCTAAGAGGAAAGTTCATAGCACTAAGTGCCCACATAAAGAAAATAGAGAAAATACACATTAGAGACTTAACAGAATATCTGAAAGCTCTAAAAAGAAAAAGCAGATTCACCCAGGAAAAGTAGAAAACTGCAAATAATCAAACTGAAAGCTGAAATCAACAAAATAGAAACATAGAAAACAATTCAAAGAATCAATAAAACAAATGGCTGATTCTCGGAGAAAAACAACAACATTGACAAACCCCCTTCCAAACTAATCAAACAGCAGAGAGTGAACACACAATTTAACAAGATCAGAAATGAAAAGGGGACATAACCACAGATACTGAGGATATTCAGAGAATCATTAGATCTTACTACAAAAACCTGTATGCCACAAAATTGGAAAATGTGAAAGAAATGGACACATTTTTAGATAAATACCATATACCAAAATTAAGTGAAGACCAAGTGAGCAGTTTAAATAGACCTGTAAGTCGCGAGGTAATAGAAGCTGTCATCAGGAACCTCCCTACCAAAAAAAGCCCTGGACCAGATGGTTTCAATGTAGAATTCTACCAGAACTTCCAAGGAGAGTTAATACCTATACTCCTTAATGTGTTCCACAAAATATAAACAGAAGAATCATTGCATAACTCCTTTTATGAAGCTATAGTCACCCTGATACCAAAGCCACAAAAAAATTAACCAAGAAAGAAAATAATAGAACAATCTCACTCATGAATATCGATGTGAAAATTCTCAATAAATTACTGGCAAACCGAATCCAAGAACACATCCAAAAAATTATACATAATGATCAAGTAGGCTTCATCCCAGAGAAGCAGGGCTGGTTCAACATATGAAGATCTATCAATGTATTCCATCATATAAATAAACTGAAGGAAAAAAACATATGATCATTTCATTAGATGCTGAAAAAGCATTTGACAAAATTTAACACCCTGTTATGATAAAGGTCTTGTAGATATAAGAGATAAAAGGTTCATTCCTAAAAATAATAAAAGCAATATACAACATGCTAGAGTTAACATTAAGTTAAATGAAGACAAACTCAAAGCCATCCCACTAAAATCAGGAACAAGACAAGGCTGTCCACTCTCTCCATACCTTGTGAATATAGTGCTTGAAGTTCTAGCAATAGCAATAAGAAAGCATAAGGAGATTATGGGGATTCGAATTGGACAGGAAGTAGTCAAACTTTATTTATTTGCAGATGATATGATAGTGTACATAAGGACCCCAAAAACTCTACCAAAGAACTCCTACACTGACAAACACCTATAGTAATGTGACAGAATACAAGATCAACTCAAAAAAATCAGTTGCCCTTCAATACACAAAGAACAAAGAAGCAGAGAGGGAAATCAGAGAAACATCACTTTTCACGATAGCCACAAATAGTATAAAATATCTTGTGGTAACGCTAACAACAAGTTAGACTGAAAAATCTATTTGACACTTGTCTATAGACAAGAGTCCCAGATCCTTCATCCAACGATGGATGGCGATACAGACGGAGACCCACATTGGAGCACCGGACTGAGCCCTCCATGGTCCAAATGAGGGGCAGAAGGAGGAAGAACATGAAAAAAAAACTCAGGACAGTGAGGGGTGCGATCACCCACTGATACAAGGGGACTGATCTAATGAGAGTTCACCAAGGCCAGTTGGACTGGGACTGAACGAGCATGTGATCCAACCAGATTTTCTGAATGTGGCCGGATTCTCTGAATGTGGCTGGCCCGCAGCCTTTCTGAAAAGCCACTGACAAGGACACTGGGACTTGTTTCCTCTACATATACTGGATTTTTGGGATCCAGTCTGTTTGGATACTCACCTTCCTGGACCTGAGGGAGGGGGGAGTAACTTGAACTTCCCACAAGGCTGGAAGCCCTGAATGCTCTTAGGGATGGAGAGTGAGGAGGAGAGGGAGGGGGGAGTGGGAGGGTGTTGGGAGGAGGGGCGGAAATGGAAACTTTCATAATTTAATAAACTTTGAAAAAAAATAATAAAAAAAGAACAAGGGTCTTTAAAAAAAACTATTTGACAAGAACATTAAGGCTTTGAAGAAAGAAATAGAAGAGGATACCAGAAAATGGGAGGATCTCCCATGCTCTTGGATTGGGAGGATCAACATAGTAAAAATAGCAATTCTACCAAAAACAATCTATAGATTCAATGCAATCCCCATCAAAATCCCAACAAGATTCTTCACAGACCTTGAGAGAACAATAATCAACTTGATATGGCAAAATAAAAAACCCAGGATAGCCAAAACAATCCTAAATAATAAAAGTACTTCAGGAAGCATTACCATCCCTGCCCTCAAGCTCTATTACAGAGCTACAGTAATGAAAACTGCTTGGTATTGGCACAAAAACAGAGATGTTGACCATTGGAATCAAATCGAAGACCAAGATATTAATCCACAAACATATGAGCACCTGATTTTTGACAAAGGAACTAAAATTATACAATAGAAGAAAGAAAGCATCTTTAATAAATGGTGCTGGCATAACCGGATGTCAACCTGCAGAAGAATGAAAATAGATCCATATCTATTACCATGCACAAAACTCAAATCCAAATGGATTAAAGACCTCAATATTAATCTGACCACACTGAGCCTGATAGAAGAGAAAGTGGGAAGTAATCAACAACACATGGACACAGGAGACCACTTCCTAGGTAGAACCCCAGTATCACAGTCAATAAGAGAAACAACGAATAAATGGTACCTCCTGAACCTGAGTAGCTTCTTAAAGCAAAGGACACAGTCATTAAGACAAAAAGGCAACCTACTGATTGGGAGAAGATCTTAACCAACCCCTCATCAGACAAATGTCTTATCTCTAAAATATACAAAGAACTCAAGAAACTAGA